CCGGAAAAACATCTAACAATAGAACCGTCTGTAGAGTATCTATTAATAAGGTGAAAGGTTCTAAAGTAGTCGTTAGTTGGAAACTATAATGCTGTGCCAAAGCATTTTCTAACGTTGTAATACGTGTATCTAACTTCTTTTGAAAAGTAGGAACTAGCTCTTGTTGATACTGCTCAACAGCAAGCTGAACTGGCGGTGGACCATATTGATATAATCGAACATGTTCACCATATTTCCTAAGATCTTTTTCCTCTTTCTCGTCAAACGGATTGGAGTTACCCTAAAGCTGTAGACACTCTAAATTTAGAAAAAGGAGTGTTAAATGTCGAATCAGAAGTACAGCCAGGAATTCAAAATAGAAGCAGTGCGCCAAGTCACAGAGCAAGGTTACAGCGTTGTTGAAGTATCGATGCGCCTAGGCATCTCTGATAAAAGCCTATATGCCTGGCTAAAACAGCCACAGTCAAACAGAGCTATCGAAAATAAAAAGCTGCTGGCAATGATCAAGAAGTCTTATCAAGAATCAGGTTGTACTTATGGAAGCCCACGTATCTATCAAGACTTACGGGCAATGGGTATTAAGATAAGTAAGAATCGAATTGCTCGTCTAATGAGAAGAGCAGGCATCGTTGCCAAGTATAGCTACAAGAAACGTAAGTTTATCTACAGTAAGCCATCGGTAGTGGCGCCCAACCTTGTCAAGCAACAATTTGATGTATCTGCTCCTAATCAGATATGGGCTACAGATATCTCATATGTGCGTACCAAGCAAGGGTGGCTATATATTTCAGTGGTATTAGATTTGTATTCACGGCTGGTGATAGGTTGGTCGATGCAGTCACGGCAGAAAAGAGATTTGGTATTAGCTGCGTTATTAATGGCATTAAGTAGAAGAAGGCCAGAATCACAAGTGATTATTCATTCAGATCAAGGGAGTCAATTTACCAGTTATGAATGGTTAAACTTTTTAAAGGATCATAATTTGGTAGCGAGTATGAGTGGTCGAGGCAATTGTTATGACAATGCGGTAGTAGAATCATTTTTCAGCTCATTGAAGAAGGAAAGAATTGGTAAAAGAGTGTATGAAACAAGAACGATAGCGCGTGCAGATATATTTGATTATATCGAAATGTTTTATAATCGAAGACGTCGCCATAGTTATTTAGGAGGTATTAGCCCAAAACAGTATGAAAATTGTAGTATATCAACGAATCAACTGTCTACAGCTTTAGGGTAACTCCAATTTGTCCGATAGTTTCCAGCAATAACACCATCTACATTGTGCATCGGTACAATATGGAAAGCGACATCTCGTATCTTTTCATCTTGCTGGTTAAAACGTTCCAAAACACGATCTATAAATCCTTCTAAGAGAAAAGAAGACCCTGTCTCTGCGGGGTGAGTACGTGCATGGATCCAGACACGTTTTTTAATGACACGACGTTGATCAGCAATTTTTACATAATAAATAGGTTGACGTTGTATCGGGCTAAGTCCAAGTTCTTGTATTTGGACATGGTCATCTAGTCTTATTGTTTCAAGATATTCTTCTAGATCTATAAAGGTATAAGGATAAAAACGTGCTAAATAGACATTTTTCTGCTCAAATTTTTTCTGTATCGTCAATCTGCAAAGATCTGTCGCCTCGGCACTACATTCGGGGTTTTGTGTTACTTCTTGTTCAGAAAACCGAAACCACGTCTGCTGATCATAAGAATAAACAGGGACATAGTAATAGAACCAACCACGGTTGGTAATCCTAAATGTAACGTCTTGGTCTGTCGGTAAATTTGAAACTCTGACATACCACCAAGTACGCCAACGCACTGGTAACTCAGGATTGTCATTATCATTGCGTAAAGCAAGTTCCCAAACATAATCTTGTACTTGCCTAACTTTACCGATGCTACCGGACTCAAAATTGGTATCAAAAACGACATCTTTGCCGCTACAGCTTATTAATAAAATATTTAGAATTAGAACTATTATTTGAGATAACTTCAAATAATTCAAAGAGTTATTTTGCCTTTTAAATCTATTGAATAGATTAATAGTATTCATAAACTGCTCCTTCTTCGTGAAAAAGCAGCATACTCCCCCCTCTAACCAAAGTCAAATATAACTATTAACGTAAATCAAAAACGTAGATGGTAATAACTATCTAGATCTCTTTGTGGCAATATCTAAAAATAGCGTTCTAGTAACTCTACTGACCCTTCAACCCCTAATTTCTTAAATAGAAACTCAAATTTAGCTTCAAGATCACTAAACATTGGGGTTTTAATATCATTAGATAATGTCCAAAACTCCCATTTAAAGGGCCCAAAACCTTTTTTACGCGTTTTATAGTAAAACTGTTCATCTGTTTGTTCAGCTTTACGCTCGTTTGCACAATTCTTGGATAACCACGCGTACACTTTGGCTTTTAAATCTTCTGGTGTATGATCGTAAATAATATTCTGGAACCCTGTAGCTAGATGAATTTCACAGGTCTCACATTGGGGAAACTTATCAAAAAGTTCATCAGGTAGTGTACTAGCCCCGTGCTGGACCGCTCCACCAATACCGTATTTTTCACGGGCAACTTGACTCAGCTGCGTCAATGTCTCAAAATCAACCTTTACCTGAGCAATACTACCATCAGGCAAGGGCACACCACCATGTGAAGTCCCTGTTTGCACACTAATTTTAGAGATGCCTTGCATCCCTTCTGGTAACGCCGCAACATAGCCATCCATATAGGCAATAAGCTCTTCAGGCGTTGAATTTTTGCCCCCGACTTCACCTATCTCTCCACCTAGAGAAATGACTGTTCCCTCAGGCTCTAATGTACGTGCATGTTTATTTAGCTCAACACCAACTTCATAATTTAGCCGCTGTTGCTCGCTTAGCGTCGCCTGATTTAAATCAACCAATGTTGAGGTATCTATATCAATATTTAAAAAACCTGCTGGTATTGCTTCATCCATCAATGCCTTAACAGCGGCAACTTCTGCATCTGCATCTGCTTGATATTTTGCGGCATTAATTTGAAAATGATCGCCTTGAATAAAAACAGGATATTTCCAGCTTTCTTTTAACGCTGCCGCCATAATACAAGCAGCATATTCAGCAGGACGCTGAAGTGTATACCCTATTTCACTACGTGCAATTTCGAATAAGATAGGCCCTGCTTTCAATTTTTTAGCAACCCGTAAAATAGCACGTGCAATATCATAGGTCATGGTACGAATATTAATTGCGGGAACGGTTATACCTTGAACTTCACCTCTACCCATCGCATCATAAAGTGCCTGTATACTTTCAGGTGCACAACCTTCAAGCTTAGCTCCTGCCTGAATTAGTCGTCGAGCTTCCGCTTGCACAGAGGAGTCCTCCGCAAATGTAGATGTGTAAATAAGATTGTCAATATTTGCGCTTACCTGTGAAGCATCTGGTACTGCTGTATTTAATTCTGTAAGATCAGAATATATATGAGACATGAATAAAATTCCTATTCTTTTTAGGCCAATAAATCTTAAAAAGTAATCATCTAGCTTATCAAAATTGGCTTTGTTTTTCTAAATAATATTTATTTTTCATTATCTTCCTACTACTATTGATAATACGAACCTCAAAACCAAGAGCTTATTTTCTTAAAATGTTTATAATTATATTTGCTATAGCTATAAAAAGGTAGTCTGGAATGATATTTGATCAAAAATTATGTCACGCATTGAGACAATCGTACCAAAAATTTAAGGCATCAGAAACAAACCATATCAATCAAATAGAAGCATTACTATCAAAAGCACATCATGACCTCAGTCATCTTTTAAGACATGGTGAACCTGTTGAGCATTCCGATTTTTATGAGCTTTCAGTAGCCTGGAGTCTTCTACAGGATGATGTAGAGAAGCTTGATCTAAGTACTATTTCCAAAAAAAGAGTCTTGCCCGATGGTCGTATTTTAAGTTTTGATCGTTATACATTATTAGATCCGAACTGGCTACATGTCGCTATTTATTGGTTAGAAAGCTTTACAGAACCTAAAGTGTCTTTTGGTACAACTCCCTATCAAGGTAAACTACCTCAAAAAGCCTCTATCGCTCTTGCCTCGGATTGGGGGGCGTCCTCAGAATGGCGACCATCAACTGCTGTAGCAGAGGCAATTAAAAGCCGTCAGCCAGATTATACTATCCACCTTGGAGATATTTATTATGCTGGCACCCAAAAGCAGGCTGCATCTTTCTGTCAATCTTGGCCGCAAGGAAAACAACCAAATAGTACATTTGCACTCAACGGCAACCATGATATGTATAGTGGTGGCTATGGCCTTTTTAATGAAGTTTATAAAAATTCAGCATTTAAGGCTCATCAAGATACCAGCTATTTTCGACTCGAAAACGACCACTGGCTAATTGTTGCTCTTGACACAACCTATGCTAGTGATATGTCTAACTTATATTTATCTGGCCTCCTTGAAGAACATCAACTAAGTTTTTTATACAAGGCATCTAAAGAACTAAGTAATCGTAAAATGATTATTTTGACACACCATAACCCTTGGAATTTAGAAATGACGCAAACAGAAACCATTTTTGACCAGGTTCTAGAAACGTTAGATCAAAGCCCTGATTATTGGTATTGGGGCCATAAGCACCATGCAGTCGTGTATAAGAAGCATTCAGATTTCGGTTCATTTTACGGACGCTGCCTTGGGCATGGTTCTCAACCTACTGCTTCTGCTAAAAGTCTAGCTGAGACCTATCAAGATGGTCGTATTATTTGGTTTGAAAATAAACAGGCATCAGAACAGCCCCTTGAGGGTTTCAGACTATATAACGGTTTTGTCTTTTTAGAATTAGATGGCCCTTATTTAACCGAATCATACATTACAGAAACAAATAAGATCCATTGGACAAACACTCTAACTTAGTTAGATACACTTATCTGAACTGAGTTCGTATTATTTATACCCTCATAACTCAAATTTTAGCAATCAAACTACTACTTGTTAGTTAATTTTTGTTTGTCTTTGTCTCTAATGACCTCTGAATCGCATCCCAAACGACTGTCGGCTTAGCAGCAACTTCAATAGGCTTATTTGCTGTTAAAGATTGAATATCTGCCAGTGTATTTTCATGATAGCCGACTTTAAACTCTGTAAATTTAAGCCCATGTGCAGTACTAATAATGACAACACTATCTTTAGCTTGAATCACACCTGTTTTAGCAAGTTGATAAAAGGCACCGATAGCAACACCGGTATGTGGACAAGAATACGTTCCAAGACGATCCGCGTTAGCTGTTGCCTCGGCAAGTTCTTGTTCAGAGACACTTGCGACTACACCATTAAAAGCTATTAAGGCCTTAATAGCTTTATTAAAACTGACAGGATTGCCAATACGAATAGCCGAGGCCTGAGTCGGCTGTGCTTGTAATGCTTGTAAATTAGACCAGTTATTTTGATAGCTATGATATAGTGGCGATGCTGCTTTTGCTTGGGCACAGGCAATTCGAGGGCGTTTAGTAATCAGGCCAACTGATTCTAAATCTTCAAAACCTTTAGCAAGTGCACTTACATTCCCTAAGTTGCCACCAGGAATAATAACCCAATCTGGGACTTCCCAATTTAACTGCTGCACAATGTCATAGGCAACTGTTTTCTGCCCCTCTATACGTAAGCTATTCATAGAATTTGCTAAATACAAATTATATTTAGCTGTAAGCTCTTGTACTAAAGCCATGCAACCATCAAAATCGGTATCTAAGCTTAAAACCGTTGCCCCATTTGCCAAGGGTTGAACTAATTGTGCGGTACTAACCTTACCACGTGGCAGCATCACAATTGTTGGGATAGCAGCAACAGATCCATAAGCTGCAAGAGCTGCTGAGGTATCTCCGGTAGAAGCACAAATCATTGCCGGAATATTCATCCCATCATAACGTAATTGGTTGACCATAGAAACAAGAACTGTCATACCCAAATCTTTAAAACTACCTGTATGTGTATTTCCACACATTTTTATATAGACCTCTGGAACACCAACAGAGTCTCCCAAACGGCTAATCGGCATTAAATGTGTTTTTCCTTCACCTAAGGTAACAATATTTTTTGTTTCAATTTCTGGTAGTACCCATTCTTTTTTACCCCAAACACCACTTGAATATGGATGCTGTACAGACCCCCAGCGGGATTCAAAAATTTGTTTCCAAGCTTGAGCTGAGTGGTTTGCAGCCCAAATTTTTCGGTCATGGGAAACTTCAAGTAATGCACCACTCTCTTTACCACGATAGATAATCTCTTGGATGGGATAGCTTTCATCATAATCCAAATCAATTCCGCGAAAACAACAAGAATATTGTTGTTCTGTTGTGTCTGTAGACATAAAAAGTACCTTAAAAGTAAATTATATTTCGAAATGAAGTTTATATGTTACCAAAGAGTTTCTACCTCTTTGGTAAATATTTGATAGGGTTCTTCGCTTTTTTTCCAAAGCGTAACTCAAGATGTAAATGTGGGCCACTTGCTCTACCGGTTTCCCCAACAGTAGCAATTTTTTGCCCTTGTTTTACAAAAGCACCTTTCTCAACAAGATTTCTATCATTATGTGCATAAACCGTTGCCCAACTACCTTTATGTCGAATAATGATAAGGTTGCCATAGCCTGATAATTTATTATCACTATAAACAACACGCCCTGCAGCCGCAGCAACAATTTCTGTTCCTATTGGGGCAGCAACGTCAATACCGTCATGGGGAACTCCATTGCGCTTCCCAAAACCACTTGTAATAGTACCGTCTAACGGCCAAATTAATCTTGGTGCATCACCGCCACTCCATGTTGACTTAGCTGTAGCTTTAGGCTTTGTACTCGATTTTGTTTTTTTAGGTGGTAACCTCACGGTTTTAGAGGTTTTCTTACTTGCTTTCTTACTCGTTTTAGATTTCTTATGACTACTACGATAATTTGTTACTTTAGGGATATCAAGCTGCTGATCGGCTCCAGGAATAAAAATCATATCTCCTACCTGGATTTTTCGAGGATCTTGAATCTGATTGAGTTGCTGAATTTTGGCAATTGGTACTTTATAAACGGAAGATATTCGATATAAATTCTGACCAGATTTCACTTCGTGGTAAATACCAAATGGTAGTCCACAAGAGACACATATAATACAGACGAGAACAACTGTATAAACCCGTTGATGCCAAATCACATTCTATCCTAAGATACGCTGTATTACTCGCCAAAACTGTTCTGCGGGATCCATTGCCATCGGCAGAAAAAAATCTGGAATTTTTCGACGCAATTCTGCAAGCCAAATATTAGCATCGTTAACATCTTTTATCTGGTCACGCATTACCCAAGCAATACGAGATCCTAAATTTTGAAGAGACTCTGCAGTCTCTTTATATGCCGAAAAATGCTCTAGTTCTTTGGTCGAAAAGATAAAAACGGCACCAGTATTCTCATCCGCTGTTCGTAAAGAAAAATTAATAAATAAAGGTGATGGATAATAAAAACGACACCAAGCAAAAGAACCATTACCAATGTCTAGCAGCCACCCATTTGCCCCAAAGCAGGTAGGATGGCGTAGCGATTTTTGTTTGACTAAGCGTCTTTGTAGACGTGTATCATTCCATAATACATGTATATAATCGATATCGTTTCCTAACATCCAAATAATAGGATATTTTTTTTCTTTTAAGGTTTCTCGCCGTAAAATTTCTGGGAAATGTGTACGAAACTCTCCCGTTGACAACGGCGGACAGATTTCTAGTAAGCCTCGTTCTTCTAACACACATATTGCTTGTAAAATTTCGGCATCAGGAGCGCTAAAGCGTTCAAGCAGGCTATCAACACCATTAGAGCCAACAATAACATTCAAAATTTCTTGTTGGACAGGATCTTCAATTACTTGATTCTTCTTAGTAGCACGAGATAGAAGGCGGCTACCTGGTGGTATATCTTTGCGAAGGTTACGTGCTTCGTCAGCAAGACGTAAGGCATCGAATAGAAAATTATGTGCATCGTCTTCTTCGCTGGCAATGATATCTAATCTTGGCAAAAACGTTAAATTACCTGATGTCCAACACAGAATTCGTGCTAAGGCTTTTTTAGACTGATGCTCACCAAACTGGATGTTGCCAAAATAGGATTGGGTAATTTCAATCGTTGCAATTTGTCCCTCGGATTCTATTTCGGCAATACCAACACGATTATTCTGCAATAGTATCTGTAAAACATCTGGCAATAGTATCTGTGACAAATCTATGTTTATTCTGCCGTTATTATTTGAATTCTCACCAGCTATTAAAATAGACTCTAACCAAATTAGATCCTTTAAGGGATCTTGAATAAATTCCTGTTTTTGTAACGCAGCACCACTAAAATCAGCTAAGAATACAGGGATATTACTTGTACGTGGGTTGGTATCTAATAATTCACGAACACGCCGAGGAGGTAACAGCGTAATACTAGGGTCAAGAATAATAGCTTCGTATTGTTCAAAAAGTGCACGTTCGACAATTTGTGGCCCGGCTACAAGACGATCACACTTTAGCCCATGGCGTCGTATTTGCTCTTCAAACTTGCCTGCGGCCTCAGTATTTTCGGAACCTAAAAGAATTGTACGTGATAACATCATGATACCCAATACTGATGCATATCATATGCATCTTCAAACCGGTTAAACGTTGCTCGAACTACATGGGGGTTTTTACAAATCCCGCCTTGCCAACAAAAACCTTCTAACTCTTTATTCAACCAAACGGCAACAGCCCCTGTTGGACGTTCTAATAGTGCTAAATAATGACCTATCATCTGTTTATCCTGTACAGACTTTATCGATACTTTATCTGCTGCAATATTCTGTTGGTTACTTACGGAAGAGAGTAAGATACGATCCCAGCGAGCAGGATATTCTAGTAAAGGTGTAAATATAGTATTTATGTTGTCTTCTTCCCCTAGAAAAAGTAACATACGTGTCGAATCTGTATCAAGAGTTGATGCTTCTTGCACAAGATGGAATGCTGACTGGACCCATAGTTCAAAATCGTCAAACTGTAAATCTTGACATTGTGGCAAGACTGTTGTTAATTGGTGTGGTGCAGATTTTTGAATCATATACACAAATTTTTGTATTTCTAAAAAAGATTTCATAGACTCTTGAATATAGGTCAAGAGTGTTTCTGTATCTTGGCCATGCCATGGACAGCTGGCTACAGTAGCTGATAGATCATAAAGACTTTCGACTGAAAAATGCTGTGCAAGCTCTTGTTCAATACGGTGTAGTAAATGAACACCTCCTAAGTAGTTTGTTTCCGGTAACAAAATATAGGCTTGTGAACCTTTCGGTTCTTCAAAAAGATCGGCATCACGTAATAACTGCAAAATACATTCGTAAATAGCAGTTCCTTGTTTTTTATTGCCATCATACTCTAAGGCAACTAAGGTTAGCTGACGGCCGTAACGTGCTGACTTTATTAATTCTGCTTCTAAATGTTGTTTAAATGATGTTGGATTCGCAAATTCTCCTACTTGGTGTTCAATACTCTTATGTATAGATTCAGCCTCAAGTGCGTTTTTAAAAGCAACTTGAAGCCATCCGCGCAACATACGTATATCTATTTCCTGACGTTTTGATAAACTACTACCTTTTTTAGAACGTGGTATGGCAATGATAGCAATAAGCTCATCAACCTCAATAATAGGAATAAATAATGTCCATTTTCCTTGCCAGTCTACATGTATGTTTTTGCCACTCTTCAAATCAGCAGCAATAGGTAAATCAGAAAGAGACAACATCTGTTTTTTATTATTTACGACTTCTTTTGTATCTAAAGAAATAGTCTCGAACACCTCATTTACAGTATTGGTCAAAAAAACTAGGCCTTCAGGTTCATTAGTAATCGCAGTAAATTCTTTTATTGTTTGAGAAACAAGTGTTTGGATATCGAGGATGCGCAGGAGACGGCGCATCCTATCCAGAATCTGAATTTCTTGATAGGATGATGAACCTTCTTGAAGAGGACGTTGCTGTGGTATTGAAAGGTTTGCCTGTTGTTTTAAAATAGGAGCTAACAAAAGTGCGGGGTTAGAAGTTAGACTAAATATTTCATGATAGCCACGACTAAGAGCATCTCGAATCTGATTAATGTCAGGATTAGAAAATAGACCTATCCAGTAGATATCCATATTGGGATCTGAAAATCTGTTAGGCTCAAAATCGTTATAACTATCAGGAAACACAAAAACCACACAAGATGTTTCTACTTGATGTAACGATTGCCAAGTATCGGTATAGACAGATTGGACCATTTCCTGTTCAAATAGAGATAACCAATGGGTCGGAATATTATCTGGTTCCTGTGTCAGAAACACTACATATTTCGCTTTAATATCAGTCATAACAATACCTTAGATTATTTAAATGGAAATCTAATGATTCCGAGCAGGCACTAAGTACCCATATAATGCATTCGCTGTTGCCCGCTCAATCTTGACATCATCAATCTCACCAATATGCTTGTCCTCTCCTAATGCATGAACAACTCGTCCTTGAGCAGACCTTCCTTTCAACATACCATCGTGGACCTCAGTCCACAGGACCTTTACCTGTTTATTCAGAAAGTATTGTTGATCTTCAGTTTGAATCTTTTGTTGTTGTTCAAAAAGTTCTTGCAGCCACATTTTTTTTTCTTGAAGATCAATTTTATCTTTAAGCTTATGTGCTGGTGTCATAGGCCTTGGACTGAAAACAAAAGCATATATTTGTGAAAAACGTACAGTTTCCATCACCTCCAGTGTCTGTTCAAAATCTTGACGGGTTTCACCGGGAAAACCAACAATGATATCTGTAGAAAAATGGATATCGGGACGGGCACGTCTTAAATCAGCAACAATATCAAGATACTGCTGACTTGTATAACCTCGCCCCATAGCCTTTAAAACAGCATCACTACCCGCCTGCAGTGGTAAATGTGCGCTAGGACAAAGTTTTGGTAAATTTTGGTATGCTTCGATAACGTCTGGCCCATAATCTTTTGGATGAGGGGAGGTAAAACGTATACGTTGTATGCCTTTTATCTGGTGAACTTGGGCTAAAAGCTCTGCAAATGTTGGAAATTCCGAAAATTTATGACCATATGAATTAACATTTTGGCCAAGTAGTACGACTTCTTTAGCACCTAACTTAACATAGGATTCGATTTCTGAAAGTATTGCCTCTGGTGGTCTACTTACCTCACGCCCACGGGTAAATGGCACAATACAAAAAGTACATACGTTATCACAACCTTCTTGAATTGTGACAAAAACAGAAGGTTTACATGTAACAATAGGATCGGGTTTCCCTAACCGCTGATAAGGATCGTCATGCTTCCAATCCGTACGAATTTGCGTATCTGCCGCCATCTCGCTATCGATAACATGACGTGAGATATCTCGAACTTGATGGGTGCCAATAACCAAATCTACATAAGGTGCACGTTTAGCAATCCGTTGCCGCTCCTGTTGTGCAACACATCCTCCAACAATAATTTTTTTCGTGTTTTGTTTCCATTGTTTTAAACGACCGAGGTCTGAATATAGTTTCTGTTCTGCTTTATCACGAACACTACAGGTATTTACAAAAACAACATCAGCTTCTGCTTTATCTACAGCAGCTGACATACCTAGGCTCTCGAACTGTGCAGCCACTAATTCAGAATCTCGCACATTCATTTGACAGCCATAAGTTTGGATAAAGTATTGGCGTTTTTCAGTCATTGTCCATATCTATGAAGGTTTGTTAACAATATGACCGTTTTCATTACTTTCATCTTACAATAATTGTCATTTAAAACCATATCGTTACGCCTGCTTCTTTAGCTTATGAAAAGCTTATAAAAACAGCCTAAGAAGACCACAAAAAATCAGCTGCCTTACTACCGCTTATACCTAGTACTAACAAAAGAGAATCATTGTCTAAATTGAAACCGGAGCATCATCTCATTTTGATTAGGTATAAGTAATTAAGATATAATCCGAACACACAGCTTAAAATCTTCTCTTTTTTAACCTTTATTTAGGAATTTAAAAAAACTATGACTCTTGCCTTGGCCAATACAACTAACGCATCAAACCATCTAATTTCAACGACAGGTACTGGAATAGTTGTTCAAGCTGTACTAGCTTGTTTAATTTTAATGAGTATCTTAACTTGGGCAATTGTCGCATATAAGTTTTGGCGACGAAGACTTATACTCTCGTCAGATAAAGTTTTTTTGAAAACTTTTTACGAAAGTAAAGATCTACAAGAAATCGAAAAAGTTGCTAAAGATCAGCCAAATAGTGGTACTGCCCAATTATTTTTGGCGGCTTTTACACAGTTAACAACGGTAAAAGAATCTGGCCAGATCTCACAGCTTTTAAAGACAGACTTGACTCGTATTATCGAACGATCTTTAGACCGCTCGGCGGTTGACGTACGTTTAAATCGAGAACGTTTTATTACCTTCTTAGCAACGGTAGCTTCAGGAGCACCTTTTATCGGCCTCTTTGGGACGGTCTGGGGCATTATGAATTCCTTTGAAGAAATTGGAAAAACTGGCTCAGCGAGCCTTGCTGTTGTCGCACCAGGTATTAGTGAAGCCTTAATTGCAACAGCGGTTGGCTTACTAGCAGCGATACCTGCAGCTTGGTTTTATAATTATTTACAGCGTCAGTTAGACGAAGAAGATGCCCTACTTTTAACATTTAGGTTAGAACTTCTAAACCTATTAGAAACTTTTATTTTTCCTAATTTTTTTAAGGACCCATCGTAAGCGTTTTTTAAGAAAGAGATATTAAGTAATGGCCTTTTCGCCAAACCAACGTAAACGCACGATTTCAGAGATCAATGTTACACCACTTGTTGATGTCATGCTTGTATTACTTGTTATTTTTATGATTACAGCACCGATGTTGAACCAAAGTTTAGACCTCAACTTACCAAATGTATCTGCATCTGCACCGCCTCAAACAGACAAACAATTAACCATTAGTATTCGTAAAAATGGCAACGTGTTTATTGATCAAGTTGCTTTACCAAATACTCGTTTAGAAACAGTTCTTTCAGAAACTATTCTGAATAGAAAATCTGAACCTATTTTTTTAGAAGCAGATGAATCTGTTCCTTATGGACGTGTTGCTATGATCATTGGTATTATTCAAAGTACTGGAGCACAAAAGTTACGCCTATTAACAGAACCTCCACAAAAGCCGTGAATCCAATTGAAAGACAACGTTTAGATAGGCCTCTCTTCTGGTTTATTGTTCTGAGCCTAATATTTCATCTAGCTCTTTTTTTATACGTAAAAATGTTTCAGGTTTCTCGCCCTTCCCCTCTAAAAACAATTGAGATAGAACTTGCTCCTGCTGGTGGTAATAAAACAGCACCGACACAATCTAAACAAACAGCGGTTCGGCCACAAATACCTAAAAAAAAGCCTACTCCTAAAACAACAAAAACTAGCAAGCTAAAAACGACAAAGAAAAAAGTTCCTAAGCCAGCTATTAAACCAAAAATTTCTAAGACAACAAAAAAAAAGAAGCTATCAAAGCCTTCGGCAACAACAGCGAAAAAACAAACAGCAAAAAAAGAAAAAAAACAAGCCTCCCCTCAAGAGACACTTGCAGGGCTACGAAAGCTACTAAATACACATAAGAAAAAAGCGGGTTCAGGAGACGGCCCTAGTGGCTATGGGCTACCGACAACAATTAAAGGACGTCTTTATTTTAGTCAGCTGGAATCAGCGATACGTGCAGTTTGGTCTGTGCCATCTGGGTCTAGACGGGCTCCAGTAGAACTCGATGTTTTAATTAGTGCAACAGGTATATTGATTAACTATAAGATTCGTAAATCTAGTGGAGATCCACTACTAGATCGTAGTACACTTTCAGCATTAACAAATGCTGATATTCCTGCTCCTCCTGCTGAATTTTCAACCCCCCTAAGGCTAATTTTACGTTTAATACCACCAGAGGATTAAATGAGGTCAACATGATTTTTTTACAAAAAGCATTATATCTATTCACCCATATAGTCATCTTCTCGCTATATGTGGAAATAGCTTCGGCACAGGATTCTAGTCCAGTTATTGATATTCACGGCACACAAATTCAACCTATTGTCATTGCGATGCCAATACCTGCAACAGATACTCCTGCTCCTCCTGCTGAACAGATTCGACGATTTACGCAACGTTTGGAAAAAGCTATTGCCTTCCATGGCACATTCAAACTACTACCATCAGATGCTCTACTTGACGACCCATCACCTATCTTTAATTTCCAACCGGATATTTGGGGGGCTATCGGTGTTGATATTCTCCTAAAAATAAAATTTAGCCTAGATAACAATTCAATTGTAACGGATGTTTATTTATTTGATGTCCAGACAAAAAATTCAATTCTCTCTCGGCGTTTCAAAATAACTTCAGGCGATATTATTGATTTAGCAGATGCTGTTGCAGACATGCTTATTAGTAACCTTTTAGGTAGTAATCCTTTATTTACAAATCCGATTGCATTTCAATACCGAAGACCAGATACAAAATGGCGGGAACTCTATACAACGGACTGGACAGGGAAATCAATCCAGCAACATACAAAAAATCAAAAAATTATTTTAACTCCTACTTTTATCCCCAAGACAGATACTATTGTTGCGATAGGCTATCGACATAAAATGCCAACACTTAGTACGTTTAATCTACAAACAGGTATAGAGAAAAATTATTTAAAAAGTTCAAAAACAATGCATGGCCTAGCTCCATTTCCCAACCAACAAAACATCGCTTTTTCTTGGGAGGCTCAAGGTAATGCAGATATCTATATTTTTAACCTGGAAACAG